CTGCAAAACTAACAAATTTCATGTCCCCAGCTCCTCTCCTCCCTCTGCTGAGGTCCCAGCTCAAAGCGACAAGGCTTTCCAAGCCCTCGGTGCCTGCTATACGGCCACCTTGGAGAGTCATGCAGGGAATTTCTGCTGCCAAGTTGCTGGAAGGCGTGACAATTGCACCCAAAATGGGGTTATAGGGAAGAGAAACCCACAAAAAAATCGGTCTCGTGGCAGAGGAAGGGCTGTTTGCTGTAGGGTTACAGAGAGATGGGAGATGGGCAATCTCGTATCACAGCGATGTTCTCCTCCCTCCGCAGCCTTGAAAATGCAAATTGAGTCTTAGAGATTATTAAAGAAGGGACAAAGCAAACCAGAAAACTCCCTTCTGTCCCTCTGTGGATCTACAGTGCGTCCGTGTCCGACTCCTCTACGCAATTCTGGTGCTGGAAGCAGTTAGCAGGACCTCGCAGCAAGTTGCTTTGCCTGCTCGAGCCAGGCAAAACTTTTGTGCTGGTATTTGGGGCATGCTTTTTGCTTTTTGCTTTCAAGGCACAAGTCACTGTGTCTTATTTTTCCCAGTAGCAGAATGGCTGTAGTGATGAAACTTTAATAAGATCCTCTTCAGCTGCCCACATTCAGGCTTTAAACAATGATTCACAGAAGGAAATTGAGCTCGGTGAGAGCCAAAGAGGCTGAGAAGAGGTGGGAAGGTGTCCTGCTCCTAAACAGACAGACGCACAAGGGAGACATGTGAGGATGCTCATGACAAAGCCTGTATTTTTCATAAGTTTGGTAATTTTCAGCGAAACTTTGGGGAGTTTGAGTCCCCTCTGGTACCATCCAGCTCCCATGGGTGCTCCGGGCTGTTTGTAGCACGGCTCCCTCCTTCCCCAGGGCCAACTGGGGTTATTTTCATGTCGTGACATTTTCAGTTTTGCAGCAAAATCTCCTCTCCGATCCCCTGCGAAAGCAAAGACCAAACCAGGGACCTGCAAGCCAGCCAGTGACAGCTAAAACAGTCCAGTTTGCTTTTAAAGCAGGACGATAGGGATGAACCAGGCAGTTTGACTTCTTTCATCTTTCTTTCTTAGGCTTTGCCTTCTCTTTCCTATTTTCCCCTAATAAAATCACCGTGAAGACTCTATGTCTGGCGTGCAGATTTGCCTCCTACAAGGACATTGTCCTGCACTGACCAACAGCAAAGTGTTTTGTGGGTAAATAAAACATAGAAATACACCCTAGTATCTACTCAGGAGATGGAGATGGGTTTCACCGCCTGGCTCCAGAAGTGACCTGCTGAATGACGAGAAATGCATTCACCTCCACGCTCCAGCTTCTCTCTCAAGTAGTTTTTGTCATCTGCAGGAACAAAATAAACAGACTCACATTTACATGGGTCATTCTGGCAGCAGAATTGACTTTTGAGGGGGACACATGTCTACGCCATTCCTTCAAATGTAGCGTGTCTCTAGGCTTCTTTTGATTTCTTCTGGTCTTTGCAGCCACGGGGATGACCTGTCTTAAGTCTGGCTGCCCAGGAAAACATTTTTTTAAGCATGAAATCTCTCCCTGCCTTTCAGCCTGCTCTTGTGCCCCAATCCTCTGAGACCCTTGAGACCCTGTGACCGCTGCCACTCAAATTCAGTCAAGTGGGGTGAAGTTCAGCCCCAAGCATGTGAAGGTGGACCAATGGTGGAGGTGGGCAACTGCCCTTGTCAACCTCCTGTGCCATAGCTGCAGACACCAAGGTCCTACGGGACCTCCTGGCATGTGGGTCAGCACTTTCCCAACATCCTCAAGTCATCTCATTGCAGCCACCAGCCAGGAAGGGCTGAATATCCCAGTTCCAACCATTGAGAGCATGTGCAACCCATGGGGACAGCCTGAAGCAGGTGCTTGGGTGAATGGGTGAAAACCAGCTGTTCACACCTTCTCCCTCCATCACACATGCTCTCCTCTCAACCCCAAGAAAGGTTCAGTGAGGGAGGACCACCACCCCACCATAAGGGACAGGATGGTTGCAAAGGTGGAGCAGCCACCACTTGTATGGGTGCAGCTAAATAGACCTTACCCCCTTCCAATCTACAGTCTTCATGTAGTTTAATTCACTTTGGAGATGACCTGAAAGAAGTTAAAGACCTCGTCACCTCTGGGAGAAAGTGGGCTTTAGGATGGCTTCAGTTTTGGCCTGAAGACCTGAAACTCCTGGAAGCGGCCAGGGACACCAGGTCCTTGCATCAGAGGGGTGCACCAGGCCTTGATCTCTAGGGTACCAGTTTTGCACCTACCTTTGGGGCCGGGGTTGCCATACTCATGCCCCGTACCAGAAGCAATAACCTTTCCACATCTTTTATATTCCCTAGCTGATGTTCTCTGAGCAGGTGACAACTGACTCCAAAATGCCACGGGAGACATTTTCAGTGATTCCCCTGGCCCTTTTAAAGTGCTTCTCAACCGCAACGGGATGTGATGCTGGGGCACGGAATGGATACATGCCCCTCTTGTAGGCAGAGGAGGACCCACACAGCTTTCATGAAGCACCTGTTGGCCAGGTCAGCGCCCAGAGCTCCCATCTCACATGTATTTACATCTTCAACCTCCTTCTTCCATGCCCAGACCAAGACAATCAGGGATGTGGGTCTCTATCCTGCTCTGAAGCATGCAGGGCTATCAGTGGTCTGGGCCAAACAGGGTCCAAGGGTCTCCTGATCTTTCTGCAAGGACCACAGTCAACATCTGCAGCCCTCAGGGAGCAAGAGGGTGCAAAACCCAACTCTCCAAGGAGGCACAATGGGAGAGAAATGCTGGCGAAGCCCTCACTGTCCACCCCAGGCACAAAGCTTGGTGGAGTGGGTCTCATGGTACTTCCACGAGTAGTCAAACCCGGGTTGAGTCAAACCTGGTTGGCGCTTAGCACCACCCAAGAAACTACATATATTTGAAAAAGAGAATTAGAAACCTCCTTCCAAGTTTCAGACCTTGCCCTGAGATGTCCCCTGGTCCACCAACACTAATTAAACTACTGGGTAACGGTGCTCAGTCAAAGCCCTTCGTACCCCGAGGAGGTTGAGACAAGGCAGGATACAAGTCAAGCGGAGGGAAGCCAAAGGTTGCTGAGAATCAGCACTCACGCATCCACAACGAGCACAAGGGGGAAATCATTTTTAATGGACCTCCACTGTGGGGAACGGGTTGGAAATAGCTCTCATCTATCACTGCTTCCTCACCACAGGGCAAGATCTGAAGGGTTTCATCAGCTCCAGGGACCATGCAGCCCTTAGGGAAAGCTCGTTCCTCTGCAATAAATAAGCCCGTGAGAGTTTGCTGGAGAAAGAGGAGAGAGGACTGTGGACTGATGGTGATTTCCCTTCACTCTTGCTGGGAAGAAAACCCACTAAGGGAGTTTCCCACCCAGCTCTTGGCGCTGAAGTCTGCAAGCAGGTTTGCTTGCTCAAAAATACTACTACAGGCTCCAAAGGTTTGGATAACCAAACCACCTTCCAGGTCTCCGTGAAGGAGAGGAAAAGAAAACATCAGTCCAGGAGATGAAAACCTCAAATGAAAATGAATGAGGAGTGAGTTGCTGGAGCAGTCGGTCCTGATGTGTCTCAGCCAACAGCTGGAGGTGATTAAGGGGAAAATGCTCTACCCAGGCCTGAAGCCAAAGGGGAGCTCTCAGTGTTACCGGTCACTGCTTCGCAGATAGCGGCCAGCAACATCACGGGTTAGGTGAGAAGCTCAAAAATGCTCATCCAAAAATATCCAGAGTCATGGCACCTCTTCTCCAAAGGAGCAGCTGTGACCTGGGCGTGTGGCCCAGGAGCGAGAACATCTCCTCATCCCATCCAGGCTCACAGCTGGCTGCTGTGGGGTTGCTCAGAGGATTTCCCCCGCTTTGGGCAGGATTTGTCCCTTCCCGGGGATACCCGCGCCCCCACCGGCCCTTTGCTAGCAGAAGGTGGCAATGGCATTTCCAAGCAGGTTTCAGAGAGGAGCTCTGATAAGCAGGCAGGGCTCAGCAGGGTTGTGGGGCCACCAGGAGCCCCCAGCCCAGCCCTAAAGTGGACTCCTTCAGGTGTCCCAGCCCGGGATCCCATGGAGCAATGCCTGTTTCCAGCAGGGAGAGCTCCATCCCCAACCTCTTCACAGCGCAAAACACTTTTGCTTGCAAACCAGTGGCATGGGACATCAGGGGAGACCTCTCTCTGGCAACACCAGGACCAGAGCGGCCCTGGAACCCCAGATTGGGAGTTTTCCTTCCTGGCTGCTCTTTTGGGGCAATCTGAGTTAATTCTGCTGGACCTCAGTGGGTTTGGGGAGCATGAGGGTCTTTTTTTTTTTTTTTTTCAAGACACGCTTTATCCCTACCTCCATCCTGCAGCTGGGACTGTGCTACCAAATCCTGGAAGAACTTTCCCAAAATTTCCATCTCCCAGAGGTTTCCTTGCCTGCATGAGAGAGCAAAAGGTCCAAGAGATGGGAAACCAGGCAGAGGGGGCAGAGCAGTGTGAGCAAGGCAAGTCTGTCCCTGCTGCGCATGGGAGTTACGAGCACTGGCCCGGGGCAAAACCCTGCCAAGGTGCTGCACCAGCCCCACTCTTTGAATACAAACACAATAATTAGGATAACACTGTTAATCAACGCTCAAAATCCTAACAGGCATCCTTAGGGGACATGAAACCTTAGCGTTTAAAATATCTTTGCACCAAGTGCCCGGCTACCTGGAGGAGGAGGGGGAAAGCATGTCTGCATGATCCTGCAAAGTCCCGGTGTTGGTGACAGCCCCGTTTTTGGGTGACTCTCACCAGGCTGTCAGGTTCAGATGTCTTCTTTTTCCCACCCCCCCCTCCTTTTTTTTCTTCTGAATGGGGAGAAGCACCGCATCCCCGTGACGTTGCCAGCTCCCTCTGATTTCATTTTAATGAAATCATGCCCAAATGAAGGCTCCACGTCTGGAGTTACGACTCCAACCCCGTGATCGCTCATTTTTATATATACACGAGGGAGGGGAAAGCGTTTCCATAGAGAGAAAAAATATCACAGCCCTCTTAATAACAATAAAAGAAAAGCGAGGGTGCCGAAGTTCAGGGGAACGCGCCTGATGCCTCTTTCCTCGGAGTGAGAACGCAGCAACCCCTTCCCATCCCGACCAACGAGGACTACCAGGTGAGTGCCTGGATTTTATTTATTAACCAGCAGCCAGCTTCATTTGCACAAACTTTAAATATTTCAGTGCTTTCCTCTGGAGATCAGGTTCCATGTTTCTCTACAAGGAAAAAAAAAAAAAAATGGGCAGGAGAGGGAAAAACAGTTCAAGATACTGTGTTAAAAGACTGTCCCCAAGCAAAGAAATCTCTTTTGTGTTATTATAACAATTTGGGGAGGCAGATGAGGCTGGGCAGCCTGGGAAGGGTTTGGAAATCTTGGGAAATTGAAAAATAGGGATACAAATCACTGTTGTGGTTAAAGGGATGGGGAGGAGAGGAGGGCACAGCCCTGTCCCCACCGGCTCAGCTTGAATTTTGGAGCCTTGGGAATCAGCACTGTCAGGAGAGATTCATTAGGAAAGCGGAGGCGGCATCAGACAGAAAGAGTTTAAAAAGTCTACAGGTCTCATCCACAGCATAATTGTATTGCAGACTTACTTTTTTGACGGGGAAAAATTAGCTTAATCCGGTGCTTTTGCTGCCGAGGAGCCCGTGACAACCAGCAAATAGCTTTGTCCTCAGTTTGCAGAGCTGCCTTGCCGGAGCGATTGACTTTTCTCTTTTAAAGCCGGGAGACAGATCTTCAGCCCATACAAAGGGTCCTGCTGTGGCTGTTGGTACCAGCTCAATAATGCCTGTAATTTCTCACGGGCATCCTGGCAATTCGCACCGGCAGGAATGGCACCTGCAGGTCACCCTGCAGCAGTGGCAGATTTAACTCAGACTCCTCAGATCCCCCGTAGATGGTTTTTCTTATTTTCCTGCGCTTTTTTGTTGTTTTTTGTTTTTTTTTTTTTTTCGGGGGGAGGTGGGGGGCAGGGAGGGCAGTGCAGGGGAGGAAAACCCAATTCCAGCTTGCTTTCTGGATCAAAAAAACTTTCTGGCATGCCAGGACCAAAAAAAAAAAAAATAAACAAACCCACAAAATACCAGCTTTTGTTTTCTGCCAGCACAGCCGGACGCTGCATTTTTTCGCTGCTTTGCCTTGATTTTTGCTTTTTTTGCCAGGCTATCCACCCCACAGCCAAGGACCAGGGATCCAGGTGTTGGGTGGGGATGCGTTTCAGCCACGTTTCCCCCCTTGCTCTGCTTTCCCCCTCGCTCAGCCGAGGTCCCTCAAGCGTTTTGCTAAATGGAAAAAGCCTGAGCCGGCCACGGGGCCAAGCCACCAGTTTCAGAGAGTCACGAAACAGCTTTTTGGGGAGAGGCGAGGTGGAGATGCTGCTCTGCGGCTGTGGAGGGGGCAGCGGCAGCTCAAACCAGCTCAGCTCTCTCCCAGCAGCCGCCCCAGCTCTGCGAGGGCAGTCAAAGATATCCTCATTCTCCACCCAGCAGCTCAGGGCCAAACAGCGTTCCCAGGAGAGCAGGCAGGGGTGAGAAATTTAGCAATTTTAAAATTCATGCCCCCCCCCCCCCTCCTCGGTCCCCCATCCTGCTATCAGGGGCTGTAACGAGTTTGCAGGGGAGGGGGGAGGTGTTGCTGCTTCATCCAGGGCTGAAATGCAGCTGCAAAGGGGGAGGTTTTGGGGGTGGGAGAAAGAAAGATGTTTGTCCTGTGAAGCTTTTGCAGGCAAAAACTGAGTCCCAGGATTTAAATGAATGATTCAGGGCAGAAGGAAGGAGAGTTTCAGGCCCCAAATTTGCCTCGCATGGGGGATGTGTGCTTGGGAAGGGTTTTCCATTCCCATCCTATAGCGACAGCTTTGCTGGAACTGCCTGGGTGGTGGCACGGCTGCTGCACATCCTTCCTCTCTCGTCCGGACGCAGGGCAGAGTTGAGGGGATGGTTGCAGGCTGGGGGAGCTCTGCGGGGTTTTGTGCAGGGGCGAGTGAGGCAAAGAAGTAGAAATCGAGCTGCCCCCTCAAATCCTGCCTGTAGAATTTCCCTCATCTCCCTCTCCGACGGACAGCAAAGGGCAGCGATAAGAGGATAAACCTGCCCCAACCTCCCCCTCCGATGGACAGCAAAGGGCAGAGTTAAGGTGACACAAGTTTCAGGGACTGGGGCTCAGTGGCAGAAGAGCAAGCCCAGGGTGAGAGCCCCTGAGGACAAGGGGGTTGCTTTGATTTTGGATCAGTGTGAGGACATCTCGCCCACCCAGCAGCCCTTCATGCAGCGAGGCACAGCCTCCATCCCCAGCGGTAGTCCCAAGACACAGATGTCCGTGGAGACTTGCAGGAGCCATCCTGCTCCACAAAAGCTTCCGAGGGGCTTCCCCCAGCCTCCTTGGTCCCTCCACACTCCCATCCCCATGGGGAATAAATTAGCAGCTCACGACCCCAAATCAACAATTTAAGCCCAGCCCCAGGTGGGGTCCCCACACCCCTGGGGACTGTCCCCAGGGACACAGCTTGCCTTGTGATGCGTTTGCCACAAGATGGGGCCCACAGATTGGGAATGCCAGCTTGCCTCCGGGCACTTGGAGCATCCTTGTTCCCTCAGGGTTGGCCTTGGGGACACTTGTCTGACCTCAAAATGAGCAAAGACCCCCACCAGGAGATCCCCTGTGACCTTTTCGGTGGCCTTTTGTGCGGTCAGGTGGGTATACAGAGAGATGGGTTTCTTCCAGGAGAGACAGCACTCAGAAACGGGGAGGTTTTGCAGAGCAGGAAAGTTATCCCAAGGTTTTCAGCTCCCCATAAACCCCCAGAATGACTGCATTTCAAGCAGGGAGTGATGCTGCTCTGCTGTGATTTTGGAGGTGCCCCCAGGGCTGTCCATGAGAGGACTGCACCTCAAATCTTTCAGCAGATGGGGCAGCCTCAGGGTAGAGGGGGGTTCTGGGGATGGAGCCGTGGGGTAATGGGCAATCCTGGAACACCCAAGGACAGAGGTGGAGAGGGGCCATGGGGCCATCACGCTGGACGGGTGGCAAATCACACCTCCAGCATTGGGGCTGTCTGTCCCCCACTCTCCATGCCTTTTTCAGACAGAGTTGTGTGAGCAGGTAGACAGGCAATTTCTGGCTTCAAAGAGCCCAGAAACATCTCTGGTGGCTTCAGACTGACCAGAGAGGAGCTGAAAGGAAAACCCACCTTTACAACAGCTGTTGGCACCCACATTTACTCTGTGGAGTTGTTAGCAAGGTGGAGGGAAAGGGCTGCATGGGGACTGCAATGAGGTTGCCCCAGGCAAGGAGGTACCCATGGTAGAAACCATCTCTCCTGCAGCAGGCACTCGTGTTTCAGCAAAGGGATGGCCAAATCCTCCCCTCCACGGAGGCTGCAGCCATGCCAAACACCTTGAACATCCCACCTCCCACCCAGCACCCCAAAATCAAGAGCTGGGAGGTTGCACCTTGCAGGAGAAGGCCCCAGGTCAACTCACTCCCACCTGCCCTAAGCATTGGGTGGGACCTGAGGGACACACCTGGGAGGCGAAGGCAAGAGCGCAGGACCTGGTTGATGAACCCAGGTCCATGGGATGTGGGAGGATGGGGGGACGACGGTGCTCTGCCCCAGGGCCCACGGGAAGCTCATGCCCATCTCTGTCCTCCCCTTGCTCTTTCCGCGGGCCAGGCCACCACAATGCCCCACACCAGGCTGCTGCTCCTCCTCACCCTCCTCTGCGCCGCCGAGACCGGCCAGGCTCTCCACCTCTACAATGCCGCCTCCATCTTCAGCTGCCTCAACACGGCCCTCGCTGAAGCCCGGAAGAGTCACCTGGAGGAAAACGCCGTCTTGGACAAGCGCGGCTTCGACTCCCCATCACCGGAGGAGGCATCTGATGAGGAAGAGGGAGAGGACGCGATGGACGAAGAGATGGGGAAAAGGACGTTCCCGGGGGAAGGCCATTACAAATATGTGTCCCAGGCACAGGTGAAAGGGAAGACGTACCAAAACCGGGCCAAGAGCGACCGCCGCACCAAGGTCACCCTCTCCCTCGACGTCCCCACCAACATCATGAACATCCTCTTCAACATCGCCAAAGCCAAGAACTTGCGGGCAAAGGCCGCCGCCAACGCGCACCTCATGGCCCAAATTGGGCGGCGGAAGTGACCACCCCCCCCCCGTGGGGCAGGGGGGACTCGGAGCAGGGTTGGCTGCGTGGGGCCACCACCAGGCCCCAGCCTGCTGGCCAGAGGGGACTGACAGCCATGTATGATATTGGTGTTGTATATTTTTGACCCATAGAGCTACCTAACTTTCATATCTCTTCTTCCTCCTTCTCTCCTTCCTGGTCACCTCCAGCCCCCCCCCCACCTCCTGACATTTCCACGTACGGGGAAGAGGCTCGTGTCTGCAGAAGGGCAAAGGAGGCATGATGCCTCAGAAAGGTCCCTAATTAAAGTTATGATCTCTTGAGTTTCCAATGCTTTGTTCTCCCACCGCCTCCACCGGGTACTCGGTCAGGTCTGTCAGGACCCATAGTCTTTCCAAAACCTCCCTCCAGCTCAAATTCACAGTCCCGTCCCCACCACAGTGCAGACCCTACTCCCGCCCAAGTCCCCATGCACAAGCTGTCCCTACACACAATCATCACAGCATTGAGAAAGGAACAGCAAGACTGGTCAGGGGACCTCAGGAGGGATTTCTCAGTTTCTCCTCCTGGGGACTCTCTAGGTTTTAAAGTTGTCTTACAACCAACACTTTCTCCACCAGCAGTCTCAGCTAAGACAGAAACCACCTCCCCATCCACATGGCCCTTCACAAATAGCCCCGGGTCATCAGTTGGCCCTGGCCAGGGCCACCCCGTGGCCTCCAGTGTGTTTGAACCCCAAGAGCTGCAGGTGCCTCCCTGGCTGCTCCAGACCCACCTCATCAGCTCTGTCCATGTTGCTCAGTCTACCCCTGCCCACCATTCCACCACTCTCCCTTTTTTAAGTAGACATCTGTACCAGTTTCTCAGCTGGTACAGTTTCAGCTCCCCATACACAGACTGTCCCTGTTGACCCCACTCTTTTCCACCCTCCACCGAGCCCCAGCTCACCAAGCTCCCACCCCTTCACCTTGGACCATTTAGCCTTTCCTCTACATCTCCCTTTCTCTTCACCTCCCAGCCCAGCAACACGATGAATCTTCATCTTCTGGCCTCCATCCCTGCATGCAGCAGACGTGGGAGGCGGAGAGAAATTTGGCCCTCCTTCCCCAGGAGACATTTTCCAAGAGCAGCAAAGCAGCTCCCACCAGCCCCACCCAGGCATCCAGAGAACGACCATGGGGAGCATGCCAGGTGGGACATTAAGAGGGGACTGGTCTCTGGTTGAAGCTTTGGTGGATGGACCCAGCAGTGATGTGTAGAGATGTAGCCAGAGGCATCTCTTCGCTGCCCCACTGGGCACCCGGAGGAGGCAACACAGCCAAGTACAACCCCAGCAAACCCATGCTCTCAGGTGGCCAAGGCTCCTAACTGGCCCACAGCCCAGGGACGCAGGACCCAAATTTGACCGAAGCCCAGAAAACAAATCCAAAATACTGCACCAGGCCCTTCAGCATCTTCCCCTCACAGCACACATCTCCAGCAGACAACACACCAAGATGCCCAGAGCATCTCTGTGCAATGACCTCCTCCTGCCTCAGCTCCAAGCATATACCGGTGAGGTCTTTCCTTTTTGCAATCTGCTGTAGCCTTTGACTCTGTGGTCCTTTCTATACACTGTATAGAGCTTTAGACATTTTTATAGCCTACGCACCCATCTCCCAGTAGTATAGAGCTCTTGTTCAGCAGGACTTAGGCACTGACTCCATTTTACACCCAGGGAAACTGAGGCATTCGTGCCCGCTCACATCTGGTCAGGCAAAGCAGAGCAGAGCAAGGTCAGACCCGGCCGAGCACCCAGCTGGACACACTCTTGTCCCTTTGTGGGCTTGGCCAGAGGTGTCCCCATGTTGTCCAGGCTCAGCCTTTCTCCATGCACAGGCCTGTCTAGAGGAGCCTTGTCATAGCAAGGGGGAACAGAGGGGTTTGCTCACAGCCAAGGGAGAAATCATTGCTCTCAGCAGAAAGTTGAAGAGAATTTTCCCCTGTGCTCCCCAGTGAGCTCCAGTGAAGCACTGTCCCAGGCTGGGAACAGGCTTTTCCCCACCATCAGCTGCCATCAGGATCTGCACCAGCCCTGGTTGGGGTCCCTTCCCAGCACTCGGTTAGACAAGGGGAACATCTCAGGCCCATGCTCAAGGCTGGAAATCAAAACATCACATTCCTGGGGCTCACACTGGTTCTTTCTTCTGCTCCCCTTTAACAAAAACAATTAACATTGAAGCAACAGTGTGGGAGCAGACGAGCCAAGGGGGTTGCTGGCACCAGGATGTGCTTGCATGTTCAAAGCTGAGACGAGGACAGCAGACACCAGCTGATAATGTGTGATGGGGAAAGCAGAGATCCCCCCTCCCCAGTTGCATCCCAAGGGAGAGTCTCACCCACACTCGGCACTGGCTTGCATAAACCCTTCCAAAATTAATCCTCCTTCTCAACCTCTGCCAAGCAAGACCAGGGGTTGCTTGAAGAGGCTGAGAGACAGGCGGAAGTCAGCGGAGACAGATTTCCTGAGGAATCTGGATGGAAATCAGAGCACTGAAATCTCCCTCAGCACCCACGTGGGTCTGGGAACTTGCAGAGCCAACGCCCCCGTGCTTGGGAAGGACAGCATTGCTGTTTGGGGTGATATGTGCAGTTTTGTAAAAGCCAGGTGAGGATTTGGTCTTTCCTGCCATTTCACGCAGGGCTGAAACCCAATCTCTCAGTATTGCACTCCAAAAGAGCAGTTTGCTCAGGCGTGGGTGCACAGCCGCTGCAGGCTCACTTGTACCAACCTATCCTTCTGCTCCCACCGTTGAGTCCCTTCCAGCCTCTTTATAATCCTTCCCCCATGCAGCCAGGTCTTCCCTGGCCTCCAGGAACCCCCTTGTCCTCCTTCTCCTCCTGCACATGCCAATGCTCAAAGGCTTCCTTCACCCACATCCGAGCAGCCCCCAAGAACAGCAGATCCTGAACCCCATCCTGGGATCCAGGAGGCCCCAGGCCCGTCTGGTTGAGGAAGGGATTCAAGCAGTGTAACTCAACGGGCACGGAGCGGCTGCCCAAAAATGCACCCCCTGCACGAGGAGGTCCCCAACTTCACATCCACTGGGGCTTGGTGAGGAAAACCAAGATGATTTCTAGCAGTCACCATGGGCAGAGTTAGTCCATGCATCTCAGGACAAAGAGCACTGGAGACACGCTGGCCTTGCAGAGGGTTATATCAGGAGCTGAGCCCTAAGCAGAGGGGTGAGGGGCAATTCAGGCTCCAGATACACCAAGAAGAAGACCTCCCAGGTGACATGAAGGTCTTCTCCTGGAATGTCATGTCATGTCCTGCTCCTGGGTTGTCCCATCCCACTCTTGGGATGTTCTGTCCCACTCCTGGGATGTCCCGTCCTGCTCTGAGCTGGGCCAGATGGGGTTATGACCAGCTCTCCCAGGAACAGAGCCACTCCCAGCCACCCAGGACCTCTGCATGGATCCCCCTCAACACAACTCTTGACATGGACAAGAGCATATTAAGCTGCAAAATCCAACCTCATTCTTCAGAGGAGGGTGAGAAACTGCCCCCACTCCCAGCCCCAACTCCGCTGGCTGCTGGATGGGTTCTTTGCTCTGCTCCATGTCCCACTCATATGCTTTTGCTTTGATTCATGGTCCTTTGTCTTCCAGGCCATTTTCTGCTGGTTGTACCCCCAGGGGAGTCCTGTTTTCTGTCCTCCCTCTTGGCAGGCCCCAGCTCTCCCACCAAACTGAAGAAGGGAGGTGGGACAGGGGGTATCCCACCCGTGTCCAGGACACTAGTTCATGAGCTTTAGTAGTTCCTGTAGAGCCAGTCCTCATGTCTTAAGTCTAGACCAGATTTTAAAACTTATATTTCTGGCCTTTGAGACATCTGCTGTCAGTGAGTTTCTTGCTTTTGTGTACACTGCATGGAAAATAAAACCCTTGTCCATTTGCAATGGGATGGTCTCATTGGTGTCTCTCAGTCCTTGCCTCATGCCATATACTGTCACCTCTCTCCACAGCTGCCCCAAGTCCTCCAGGCCATCCAGCTTTTGTGGCTCTGGTTGAAGAGCAGCCAGAGCTGCCCTGGAGCTGAGAGAGACCAGTTTTCTTGGGCCACCAGTGTTGGAGGAGCTGCCCCAGCCCCATGACGTTACCCCCAAGGCAGGAGCCTCATCTTACAACTCCTGTCCATCCCCAGGAGATTCAACAGATGTGCTGTTGGCATCTGGAAAGGGGGGATGGAAAGCAGAAAGCACATTTCCAGCCCTAAAGATTACAGAGAAAGTCTTTAAAATGAGCTTTAATTTAATAAATACATTAATAGACAAAATACATTAATAGATAAAAACCCCATATACTCCTCCCACAAAAAGCATTTTAAGTTCTTTTCCTGATTTCACAGTAAGGGGTCTTAGACAGCACGGGGAAAACAATGCTGGGTGAGTACTTAAAAGCCAAAGAAACTCCAAACCCCACAGGTCCACAGGTGCAAGTCTTCCAAAGCAGCTTGATTACACACCACAGGTCCCAGAGAAGAAACACCTGAACCCTTTGCCAGCAGGTGCCTGCATAAGGAGGGGGCAGCAGGTGGGACCCTTTTTAGCAGAAAGTCCAGCTCTACCTGCTATAAAAGGCCCAAGAGAGAAGCAGGTAAGGTATGTTCTCTGTGAGGTGGCTGTAGTGGGGAGGTCAGGAGGTTTGGAGCCATGGTGAGTAGCTGTGGGGCTTGGGTTTGTTTTCTGATGGCTATGGCTGGTCCTTCCTGGTTCTGGAGGTGGATTTTTCTTTTCATCTGATGGAAGGTGTCTTGCCCCTCGCTTTGGGCATGAAGATACCTTGAAGGTGATACCTTGAAGGTCTTGCTGGTGGCATCTGATATAAGACTTAGCTAGGTGCCCATCTGGTTCTGCTGTGGGGCTGGGACAGACCTGGAGCAGAGGGTGAAGGTGTCTCCTTGTGGAGACTGGCTCAGCATTCTTGTTCTGGCCCTGGTGTGGAGGGTGACTAAGGCTGTCCTGGGGCTGTTGGTGTAGAAAGAGCAATGTGGTGGTGGCTGAGGGCTGACCCATTAGATACAGGCCCCTCTGCTCTCGTGTAGGGTGTTGCTGCCCTGTTTCTGTGCTTGGTAGGGGTCCTGCTATGCCAGCTTTCTTGCAAGAAGATAATTTGAGTATTTCTGTGCTGGGTCTCCAGCCCAGGACACAGCTCAAAGCAGGTGGTGAGGGCAGGCTAAGACTTGGATAAGCTCATCTGAGACTTTTCTATTTTGTTGCTCAGGCCATCCTGAATTGGATGTGGGTTTTTTCCCTCTAGTAAGCCCCAGTAGAAGTCTTCAGGACAGTC